GGAGACTTTACAATAGACACAGACAGAATGATTAAAGCTAATCGCACAGATGTCGGGATCATAGACCACAACAGCAGAATGTGATTTCTTATTGATATCCCAGCAGATTGTAATGTATCTTTGAAGATCTTAATAAAAAAACTATGAAAATACTAGGATCTTGAAGTGAAAATCTCAAAAACGTGGCACATGAGGACATCAATAATTTCAGTTGTAGATGGAGCCCTCGAATTGAGAGGAAAATGTCTCGATAGACATTGAAGGGATTCAGAAATACAAAAAAAAAATACTCACAAGTACTGGTCAGACATTACGAAAAGCTTTATCTATGTAAATGCGTATGATCAGTGGAAAACATCATGTGGGCATTTCTGACCTTAGGTCCCTCGTTGGGACCTGGAAGGGAATGTGTATACAACAGGAAATACTACCACTACTACTACTATTACTACTACTACTACTACTAATAATAATAATGCATATCACTAACACTTAATCTCGCCGGATCTGACTGTGGTTCCTGCTGCAAAAAGGGAAGTAGGTTCGAATCTTGCTGTTGGGTAATTTTCTTGATGTTTTATTGAGTACGGAGGCTAGTAGACGAAATAAATACTGTTTAAAAGACAGAGCGTCTACTAAAATACGGGTATCCACTTAACGTAACGTTTGAAGCAATGATAATAATAATATATTTTCTGTTTATACGTTATTTTTATAGATATTATTTAATTAAATAATCTGTCTTTTAATTAAACAGAATTAATTATATTTAGCGGCCTGAAATTTAGTAGAAAATGTTTTTTCCGACAGGAATCTAACCTGTAATCCCATCATTTGATCTGATGTACTGTTAAACATTCAGCCACAAAGAATTACTGTTTATAAAAATACACCTTCGACAATTTTTCTCGATCGATAATATATATATATATATATATATATATATATATATATATATATATATATATATATATATATATATATATAAAAGAAAGGATAATAAGATATATAATCCGGTGTTCTTATAGATATTTTTATTTTTACAAAATAGTGCTCAATGTAAATTTACAGAGCATTAATATTATAAATTAATTGATTTAAAATATGTTTTTTTCGCTACAGTTCTAACCATGTTTCCAAAATCGAAACTGAAAGCTCCGAATTTAATTTTGTAATTAAATTAAAGATATTGTTCCATTTCATCCTCAAGCGAATTTTTCTCTTGATGATGAAATTTAATTTAAATTATATACCAACGGATGTGTTAACTTTTACTAATATATATATATATATATATATATATATATATATATATATATATATATATATTCGCTTACATTGATCTCTCAGCATTTCATCCTCCTTGGGACTACCTATACGGATTACCAAGTTTTTCGTAACTGTATCTAAACAAATGAATGACAAGTCGAAAAAATTCTGTTTAAAAAAAATTAAATTTAAGCATTCCAACATGCTCAAGGTTTCCTGCTGAGCCATAATTTTAACCGATGCACCTGCATTTTTACATCACCTCCCCTCATACATAATTCAATCAACAAAACCATTACTTTAGTCTGAAGAAGTCCTTCTCGAGTAAGAAACACATTACACAGAAATTTTTATTAATGTTTTCCCAGAGAATGAAATATGGAGAAGAAAAAGAAATAAAATTCACCTATAATTTAACTGTAACAAAGAAGGCTCTGCAATGTTTAAAATTATTAAAAGCCAAGTTGCTTCATACAACTAAATATCTCAAAAATCCCAGTCGGTAAGAATCCATGGATTAAATAGATGGTCATCTCTCACCTTCATCATCTCTTTTTGCAAAGGTCAGATGTGAAGAGACATTTAACAAGTACAGTGAAAAGCCAATTCTCTCAGTAGCAGTAGCAGAAAGCATGGTATACAGATTATAGTTTAGATAATACCAACAACAAGAACATCTTCAAAGGCTCTATACAGATCTGCAAAAACTTGTTTCTTACAGGTTATAATAAAAGTGAAACGCTCTAATATATATAAACTTAAAATTTAACTGTAACAAAGAAGGACCTGCAACGTTAGCACTTCTGATTTCAGTCACTTTGCTCCCACAATGTCCTGGTTTCCTTTTGTCCTTTCTACAAATATTTTCATGGCAGTTGTACTAATGTCTTCTCTTCCATAGTACTTCAAGCGCATAAATTTATGCCTACTACTAGATTGGCAACTAGTTCACATCGTGTTACTGCTGAAGTAGTTAGATATAACTAAGTTCTATTCTAATAGTTGCACTTCTCACCTGTGGAACTCCTCTTGTTTCTTGCTTCCATGTTACCTATAATCTTCAAAAGTTTAAATGCAACGCCATTCGCCATCTTCTGTCTTCCTGAAACTGTTCTTTTATTGTCTTTTCTCCTCACTAAATTCTTCTCAGTTACTTTCACTCCCAGGAACCCCTTGCGTCCTAGTGGCATTATCGCCATCTTCTGTTTTCCTGAAACCTGTTCTTTTATTG